ATACCAGGTGTAAACGGGGAGCCAAAAGACTTTGCCCTTTGTTTACATCTTAACAACAACATAAAACTTATAATTGGAACTGTTAATATAAAACATAACAAGTAACAAAACATACTTGCAGGTTGTGATCCATAAACAACTGATTGCCCAGACAAAGTGGGAACTCAGGAGAAGCTTTTGTGTGTAACCCTTTAGTGTATTCTCTTGGGTTCTGGAAGCTGTCGTCTAAAATGTGCAGCACACAGATCAACGATGGGGATATAATGTTCAGGAACCATGTTAAAAATCAACTTTAACCACTGTTTTATAAGTTCGTCTGCCTAAGGAACATCTACCATTACCCATATCTCTAAATCATGACAAAATAAGTTTCCTAACTTTGTTTTATTTTCAGCTAAGATGTTGATCGGGAAACATGTAAAGTTTATAATTTCAAAATCATTAAAGTTTGAATGAATTTGAATTTGAAAAAATTTGAATGTCATGTGCAAATTCATAAGTCAACACCATTGCTGTGAATTTTCTCCTTTAAAACTACAATAAAAAAAGGCTGGCTCAAAAACATGGTTTGAAATTGCCAGTCTTTCTTGGGTAAAGTTGACCGAGTGGATCTCTGAGCTGGTGTGATTGACTGACTGGAGGCGGGGCTAATTTGCATATTCATTTGCGGACTCATTTATTATTTGCTACTTCATATTTTGTCACTTTAAACGGTGACTTTCCTGTGGTTTAAGCTTCCCATAGTGTCCTGCCTTTGATAGCCAAAGTTTTAATATTGTTTATAAAAATATATTTTAGCTGTTCAACCCCCCCCTAAGACCCTGTTGCTTTTCTTTAGGCCTATGTTTAGTCTGCACATTCTGAATCTGTCAGCCTGTGCTCATGGTCGCTGTGTCTACAGGCCCCAAGAGATGAAATGTCCATAAAATCGCTGTCATTGTGCTGACAGAAGAAAACCAGACAGCTGGATTGTTGTTCTTTTGATCTTTGGGGGGAAGCTTGTCATGGTGCCGTTAACTATGACTGTCTAATAAACTGCAAAACTGTCACAAAGCAACACGTGTATTCCAGATTGGCAATATGACAGCTCTCTACAGGGCAAAATACAAAAGCCAGTGACCATGACATGATATTTTATCCCTTCACGGAAAGATAATTTTTGCGTCTTTTGGAAATCCCCACCCAGCGTCAAAGGATGCGTCTCATGCAGTGATAAGGAGAACTGCTGTGTGAAGATATCTGGTCGTAAACGCACAGGAGAAAGAGCAGCTCTGTTTTTGCTAGATCAACATGACCGAAGAGGTGGCAGATTAGCTATTTTTCTATTTTGTGTTCAATTTAAACTAGTTTATAATCCCTAAGTCGAACCTCTCAAGCGCTGTTCTTTTTAATCTTCTCACATATGAATCCACGGGGTACAATTAACAGATTACGCTAAGCATGCACTTTTAACCTCAGGTCATTGTAAACAATTACTGCCAATGTATTGGAGTCTCATAGCTGTGCACAACACTGGCTTTCCAGCAGACCTCTTACTTCATCTGAATGGCTGCCACAATAGATTCACCACATAAACGTATTACCTTTCATGCAGCATAAAAAATGAGTTGTCAATAGGACTTCCACTTTCATTGTCCCAGCTTATTTATCTTCTAATGGCTGTTTAATGCCATATAAAGCAGAATATAGACCTTATATAGCTGCACTCATTGTGTTCTGTTTTCCGGTTTGTATTTCCAGTTTACTCATAGCAGAGCTCATTTATGTGGTATAATTTGAATACTCTGTTGAGTATAAGTAACTTTGCAATTATGTCAACTAACTCATTAGAGTATTAGTAGACTGTCTGCGTAAAGTAGTTCACTTTTAAAAAAGGCTTTTGCTGATAATTTACTCACCCCTATGTCATCCAAGATGTCCATGTCTTTCTTTCTTCAGTCGGAAAGAAATGAAGGTTTTTGATGAAAACATTCCAGGATTTTCTCCATATAATGGACTTCATTGGAAACCAAACGGTTCAAGATCCAAATGAGTTTCATTGCAGCTTCAAAGGGCTTTAAACGACACCAGACGATGAATAAGGGTCTTATTTAGTGAAACGATCAGTCATTTCAAAAATAAATAAAAAAGTTTACGTTTTATAAGCTCAAATGGTCGCCTTGCTCTGTTCTGTGATGAACGTGACTCTCCTGTTCAAACTCGTTCATCAAAATGAACAAATCTTTTTTCGATTCATGACTCGAAGGGTTCTGGATAAGACCCTTATTCATCATCTGGTGTCGTTTAAAGCCCTTTGAAGCTGCAATGAAACTCATTTGGATCTTGAACCGTTTGGTTTCCAATGAAGTCCATTATATGGAGAAAATCCTGGAATGTTTTCATCAAAAAACCTTAATTTCTTTTCGACTGAAGAAAGAAAGACGTGGACATCTTGTATGACATGGGGGTGAGTAAATTATCAACAAAAGTTTTTTTAAAAGTGAACTACTCCGAACACTTCTGCTAACACTTCATTTTGATATTAGCCATTAGCTAATGAGAGTTAGTAGACATTGTAGGTGCAATGGTATTTATAGTCAACAGAATGTGTTGAAAGGACCATCAAAATAAAGTGAAACCTAATGTTTTTGTGAAGAATCCACAGGTATATTTTGTAAGTATTGTGAAGAAATACTGAATAATTTTTACCTGTTTATTTATTTTGTATTACTCCCAAATGTCATGAAAATGAGCTTGAAATTTAGTCTTTTCTTCCCTATGGTGATGTATATCTGAGTGAAACGGCGTCTTGAAAAATTGGGAATTAACTGGATCGTTGTCATTTACTATTTCTGCGACTCAAGTTAATTTGGTCAAATCCAATGATTGCTTCCCCTAAAATGCGGCCTGGTGTTGTGTAAACCTGTACTTGAGTCCTGGAAGTTATGCAAAGCCAACCAATCAGGGGTGTGTTTCCCGTACAACGACATAACGCGCTGCTTAACTCCCATAGTGCAATGCATCATTGAAGAAATCAACAAGCTAGTCTTGACTGTGTCCCGAAATCGTATTGTTGCAAATTGGTCGTTCAACCAGGATAAATAGTGATGTCACGCAGGTGGTGGAGTAATAACTACTTTTAATGAAGCGGTTTAAGATCGAATTAATGTTTGATGTTTTGCTATAAATGACAATCATGGCATCTGAGGAATATTTCTCCTTTGTCTCAGTTATTTTTCTTTATTTCCAGATTGAATCATTGCCTCGTTCATACGCACTATAAGAGCACGTACTCGCATGTGCACTCTTCAAAAACGACACTTTAAATCTCTCGACAAACTAAAATATGTAAATCACATTTGATACAGATTGTACTGAATGTCAGCTTGCGTATTTTGCCCAAGATAAGGATTTCTTGAGTCCACATGTAATTCAAACAAGAAACTACGCTTCTAACCACAGCTCAAGGTCTGTCATTCCAATCACACAACTTTGCGATGCTCATTGCGAATGTTCGTTGGAACGATGGTTTTGGGAAACACCGACTCTGTTGAACTATGCTGATAACGACGGAACTTGCGACCATAGTTGGCTGATGATGCTTTCGGGAAACGCGCCGCTGATTAGTGCTTGGCAGATTGCCGTTTTTGAGTGCATGGTCCGTGAACAAGACTGTAAGTGTGATGCCTAATTGTTGAGACTACAAGAAACTCCTTAACTATTATATTATAAGTGGATGTTGCAAAAGTAATAAAGGACTTGATGAGATGATTTGACTGAGGGATATCCTCATAGCCTTCAAAGGGCAGGGATAATTGGCGCTGTCATGGATGAGTGGATGAGGTTCACTCATGCCTGAGACCGTGTCAGTTCAACAAAATGATCTAGTTGCTCGCATTGACTGTCCTGTCACTACTCCCTGCTTAAACACTGGTGACACAACGTGTTTGAAATTCCATCTCTGGCTCTGCATACGCAGGCCTATTATTTTCTCTCTATTACTTTCTTCTCGTTCCTGAGGTGATGGACATGACACCTTTTATCTATCACTCTGGGAGCTGTACAAATGCACTGCAGAAGTGGAGAGTGAGATCTATGGGCTCGGCGCCTGCATTAACTTAAGATAAGAGCTTTGCAGACATTTGAGTCCTTGACCCTGCTCGACCCGCGCTACACCTCGCCTACGTAGTCCCTCATATATCCACACTCTGTCCCCTGCTGCTTTCTGCCTCTTTGATGCGACATCCCACCTGCATCTATCTGTAGTCCTGAGCTTTTGCATTATTTATTTGTAATGTGTAAACTGGCTGTAATTTGATAGGGAACAGCTGCTATATCATGAGTAAAATGAATATGCTATGGTTGTACTAGTTCAAATTTCAGTTTGTGTCAGAAAATACTTGGTGCATTGCAACAATTTGCAGCAATGATATTGTCTATTTATTTTTTCCAAAAGCCTATTTTACTACACTCAAAAAACAACACCTGTTTTCTCTCTATCGGGTGTTGCAGTGTGGACATATTGTTGGTTAGCCTGGAAGTAGCATTTTTGCCCCAATAAAAAAAAAACCAATAGCACTTTTTAACCCTCAGGTGCTCTTTGGTCATTTCTGACCGAAAAATTTTCTGTTTTGAATTTCTAAAATTTACGGCTTCATCGGAATGTTATGAAACTTGGTGACTTTTATGGCATTATGTATGTGAATACAAAAAATATTGAGGTCATGATCCGAGCATGCTAAGTGGTCGTAAAAAAAATAATCACACTTAGGAAACCGACCCATAGGAAATGAATGGGAAATTGACAAAAAAAAAAATTCTCTGAATTTTTGTAGTGCAATCTACAAATCGGCCACAATTCTAAAAAAAGTACACCGCAGGAAATGGGTGACACTCTACAACATCTAGAGTCCAAAACAGACAAACCTACCCACCCACACACACACATACAAACACACTTTTATGCACATACACACCAATAAATTTTGATTACAAAAAGTATGTTTTGAATTTTTAAAAATCACAGCTTCATCTGAATGTGACGAAACTTGGTGACATTTATGGCAATATGTATGTGAACACAAAAAAAATTGAGGTCATGATCTGAGCATGCTAAGTGGTCTTAAAATAAAAAAATTAAAAATAGTCACACTTGTGGTCTTTGGTCAAAAATGACCCTCATAGGAAATGAATGGGAAATTGACAAACACACAAATTCACAAATTTTTATTTATTTATTTTTAAAAATTTTTTTTTTAAATAAAAATCGTTTTTGAGATTGTTTCAACTATATATTCAAATCCACCCCAAAAAAAAAAAAAAATGTGTTCATAATTATCTGGGGAATTCACATGCTTCTCCATAGAGAGCTGTACATGTCATCTAGTGGTTACACCATGATTCTATGCTTTTTCTCTATACTGTAACCAGATGGTGTTAATTTTCTTCAAAATATATTTTTTTTCTGAAGGCCTAGACTCTATGTTAAACTAAAATACTGCATTAATTTTTTGAAAAAAATAATATATATATAGAAAAATATATACATTTTCCATGGCAAAATAGACAAAATTCAATCAAATTGTCTCAAAATATTAAATTACAAAGAATAAATATTATAGAACAAAAATAAATTGCATTGGTTTTACTGGGATGGAGGAAATTTAATTTTTAGGTGTCCGGTCACTTTTGACCGGGAAGATAACAAGTGTGACTCCGAAACAAAGAGCACCTGAGGGTTAATTAGTTTTGGATTGCTGCAGAAAATAAGCTCTGCGACCAACCAACAAAAGTTTATGATGCATACACAGTATGTTCGTCATGATAATCTTCTCAAAAGAACCCAATTTTGAATCTTTGAATACTGAATGTTAATTTCATGGTGTATATATTTGAGCTTTACTGAAATAACTGAAACTTCAGTCAGGCTTTTGTTAGTCTCACGAAGCCAGATTACCGATACCTTCACTTCGATAATGGTTCCTGAACGACACTTTTTGATACTAATTTCATTAACTACAGACTCAAAGACTTTCAACGCATTCTCATCCCAAGGCGTCATATACGACACTTTTGCCAAATCGTAGACATCCAACGCACATGGCACCCTTTAGCGTCAATATAACACGCATAGAGTATGGGTAGGGTTAAGGCCTGTTCACACCGGGACGAATTTCGCGCGCGTTATTCGTCGACGTTTAACGCCTCGTGACTAAACAATGGGCGCCAATGTGAGTGTTCACACCGACGCGAAAAACGCCACGTGTAAAAGCGGCATTTTAAAAAAAACGCCTCGGGTTCGTTTTTTTGGTTTGACGCGCCGCGTCAAAACCTATCCGACCAACGAGATCGGCGGGTTTGCTCACGTGTCTGGTACTTCTGAAGTTACAGTAAAACACAACTTGAGGGCGCTCAAACACAAAACGGTCTTGCCGAGCACACATAGCGAAGAAGAGACAAGATACCTATGGGAAAGATGAATGTTGAGCTGCTGGTCTCGGAGCATAAAGAGCTATAAGATAATATTTATATTAGTATTTCTGTAATAATAGTATAGTATAGGGTGACCAACAGTCCTGTTTTCCCGGGACATGTGTAAAACGGTCACTTTGTGCTTTATAGAAATCTGAGCTGAGATGAGAACTGCGCATATGTGCGTAGTGTCAGTTAGATTTTGACAAGTGAGGAGAGGAGATAAACGCTCTGCCGACTCTTTGTATTCTTTCTTTTATTTTATTTTTCTATTGTGACCAGATGTTTGTTTGTGTTTTTTTTTCTCGCTCGATCATGATGTATGAGGAGGACGAGTGTGACGTTTGAGTGGTTTTATTAAACGCGGGGAAATACGACAACTCTCGTCTCTCGTGCATCCGACAACGGCTATGTTTTATCTCTGGACAACATCTCAACTTTGCGTTACACATGTCCTGTTTCCACGTCCCGTCCTGACTGTTTTTAAGTGATAAATGTCCTGGTTCTCAAAAAAACTGCTGGGAAAGATCAGTCCTACAGCAAAATATAGATGGGCAAACAAGGTGGACGAGGAAGAAAAACAAGATAAAGAGAATGAAAACTAAAGATATAAATAGATTTTGTTAGTTCGTTTTTGTAAGTTTGTGAGAGCTATTTTTTGTTACATTTGGAGGCATTTCTTTTAGTTATTTATTATTTATTTATTTTTCTAATACAGAAGACATTATTTCTATCATTATTTCATTAGTTTTTTTTTATCTGTCATAATAAAACATTGAGACATGAATATGATCACCCGAGTATAGTATTCTATTATTATTTTTTCTGTTTAGATTAAGCGCCATCTAATGTCAGGGAATGAATTTGCATGTTCACTCGGCTCATCGTCAGCGAAAAACGCTTGGGTGTGAACACAAAAAACGCGTTGAAAAACGCTGACGAATACGCGCGCTGATATTCGTCCCGGTGTGTACGGGCCTTTAGGGTTAGACCAATTGGAGGCGCCTTCTGCCCCAAATATATCTGCGTCTCATATTGATGCTAAAAAAGCGTCATATATGACGCCTTGGGACGAGAACGGGCTTAGACTTTTACAGGCCTCTAAGGGTCAGAATAAGATTGCCGCAAAGCACTGGCAAAAGTAGCCTAATGATTATGAATGTGTTGAAGAAAATAAGCAAGGAGTCATTTTAATTGTTTATTAATAAACTAGTGTTTTGAATCAGTGTTGGCTGCAAAGATGAAGTTAATGCTGACTCGTCATCTTCGCAGTAAAGAAATGCAACTTTCATTTGAATTACATAATCCAAGAGTATTTGTATTTTGATTTGAATTGGTGCATTTAAAAGTAGACTTTCAAGCTTTCTATATGCCTATATCTCTATATGTATGTGAGGCAATATTATCTTGCCGCAAATATTGCATCGCATGCTGTTGGCCCAGAGCCTGGTGAAATGTAGCAACACTTTAGATTTTTACCACATCTTTATCATGTATGGGGGTTGGGACACTTTACACACTACAGCCTCATATGTGAGCTACGTCTCTGAGCGTCCAACTCTCCGTTTGAGGCTGAGACTAGGCTTTTGTTAACATCATGCATTCAAGTCAAATGGATGAAATTGATCCATTTCTGTCACTTATTTATAGATGGTTACTTGCTTTCCACTCACCGATTTCTACTGTGTATATATACTGTTAATTTGATGTTATCTTATAAAACTGTTTTCCACAATATTCCAAATCGATATGCCCCTTCCAAACTCGCGTCTCAGAAATGCATTTATCGTATACAATTTCATGTTTCCCACATGTGAATACAGCTTCGCTTTCTACTTAAAGGGCACGATATTATTTTATTATCATTTGATGTACGGTCACATTTTCAAAGACTGATATTCTATATTTCCTCCTTTCCTGCAGGAGGCGCTGTCCGTTTCCCTTGGAAGTCACCAGACTGTCAGGAGAGCACACGGTCTGAGAACAGGTGCCAGGTCTGCTCTCTTCTGCCACCCCAGTGCCACTCTGACAGCCCAGGTGAGTGATTTATTCACAATCTGAGCTACGGTGCGATGCTTGAGACATGACCCAAATGCTCTCAGTCTCTACAGTACATTTTTGATTTAACATCATACGCAGACATACACCGAACTTCAGAACTTGGAGGGCTCATAGCAAATGCAAAATGTGTTCTCTCGTGCCCTCCTTCTGAACCACCTGCAGTGTTGTGGACTTTTTTTTTAATATCCAGTTGCAAATCCATATTTCCCCAGGGCATCTTCTGCTTCTTTTTCCGGCTTATTTTGCTCCAGCCCAAAAGAAGCATTTAAATTTATAATTTAGTATTTTTGTTGAAGCTGTTGCAGTCTTTACTAATATAGACAAAAGGGTCACACTTTGGTTTAGGGTTCAGCTATCACTATTACTAACTATTAACTACGACTTTTGCCTCAAACTCCTATTTACTGCTTAGTAATAGTTAGTAAGGTAGTTGTTAAAGGGATAGTTACCCCAAAAATGAAATTTTTGTCAGTATTTACTCACCATGTTGTTCATCTTCGGAAAACACAAATTAAGATATTTTTGATGAAATCTGAGAGCTGGATCACTCCTCTAAGGGATTGAAACTTGATGGCCCCGAAAAGTTATTAAAGACATCGTTACAATAGTCCAAGTGACTACAGGGGCTCAATCCTAAGTTTATTAAGTGACGCGAATACATTTTGAGCGCAAAAACAAACAAAAATAACAACTTTATTTCAACTATTCACTTCCTTTTCTATGGGCCTGTAGTCAGTTAACGTAGTGTGATGGCGTAGAGCTACGTCACACATAGGCTCACTATTGGCCAACGCTGGTCATGTGTGTGATGCGTGTGACGTACAACGACAGAAGCTTACGCTGTTACACTAGTGAACTCACTCAAGGCCCACAGAGAAGAAAATGAATAGTTGAAATAAAGTCGTTATTTATTTATTTATTTTTTGCGTACAAAAAGTATTCTCGTTGTTTGGTAAATTTAAGATTGAGCCACTGTAGTCACTCAGCCTATTTTAACAATGTCTTTAATAACTTTTCTGGGCCGGGAAGTTTCAATCCCTTAGAAGCCTATGGAGGAGTGATCCAGCTCTCAGTTTTTTTAAAAAAAATTTCTTAATTTGTGTTCCGAAGTTGAACGAAGGTCTTACGGAGCTAGAACCACATGGGGGTGAGTAAAAAGTGACAGAATTTTCATTTTTGGGTGAACTAACCCTTTAAGTTTAGGTAGTGAGCAGAATAAGGCATTAATGTGTGTTTTAGAAAGTACTAATGAACTACCAATATCCTTGTAATATACATTATAATATGTAACTTGTTAATAGTGAGAATTGGACTGTAAACCAAAGTGTTACCGGCAAAAGTTAACTAACTTGTCCTTTTGAGAAAACCTTTTTCTCCCCTGTGGAGGAGCAGTTAAAAGAGCTCAGATCCATGTGAAGACTAGTTGCACAACATTGCATCATAGTTGCATCATTTCCTTTCCATTCATTTCCCTTTCTGATCTTCTCATGCAGTCATTGTATATTATATACAAACGTATATACAAATGTATAATTAAATATACATTGTATATTTAAAATGTACATTTTATTATTCATTATTTCCGGGTTGTTTTTATGAAGGACCGAAAAGAACAACTACAATTCTTACCTCTGGTGATGCACAGTATGTCACAGATGCGGTTCATAGTCTTATTATGCTCAATCCATCAGTGCATGTTATTCCAAAGAAAACAAAGAATGGTCTTTCATTAAAATATGAAGCCCAAAGTAGCATTTTAAAGGGTTCTCTATTTGATAATGTGCGCCATCACAGGAATTCGCTAGTTGTTCACTCGCGAACAACAGCCCTAGCTAGTGTTGTGCTAAAAATTCAAGGCTCATGTGTGAGCTGAGTATATGTATAGAGTAGCCCAAAGTAACCTTTGTTTTTTTTACGCTTAGTCGCGTACATTAGGATATGCATTTATGTGAGACAAATTTCACCATCTGCATGTGCCGAAAAGCTTTAAAAGACTGTGCGTTCACTTTTACTTATAAGCTTAGAATAACCTATACCCCAGCATACGCATTAAAACAAAGTACACAACTTGCTCCACCCCTGAAATTACTTTCCTCTTTGGATGACATCATCAAGTAATTTCTGTTTTCACAATTCAGTCAATTCCCGATCAACTCTCCTCAAACATTGGTAAAATTTGCTGTTCGCTGTCTCATGTTGACTTCATGTTAGTAAAAAAAATATAATATTAGTTTCAAGGTTTGAGTGTTTATCTTTAATGAATTATGATTCATATGAGTGATTCAGACTGCCAGAGGCTTTTTATTTTGCCTTGTTCCTCAAGAGCAATCCAAGCATAATCGAATTGATGTCTCCTGTAGCATGATCATTTCATCCTGGTTTTTACTCAATGTAATTCCCATTGACAGGAGATCAATTCGGCATCTGCTCCGGGAAACATTAGGATTGTTTTTTTTTCTTCAAGACTAGTTTGGTTAGCAAACTATACACATGATATTAAAACATCCCTGAAAGGGAAAGTGTTCACATCTTTCAAATAGTGATGCGTATCTTCTTCCTGCCGGTGTCTGTCACATGAAAAATGTATGATCAGAGGAGGATATTTGTTGTGTGAGTGCTCGATGTGCTTCTTGCTGGTTGGATTAGTATGATTCTCTCTCCGTGTGTGTGTGTGTGTGTGTGTGTGTGTTTTGTTTATTGAAATGGGAAAAAAAACTGACCTTTTTAGAAAAGTCCAATTTTCAAAGTGTTGAGTGTGAAATGGAGGCGTTCTCTACCTGAGGGATTTGATGAAGGAATAGATTAAAGCGCATTATCAACCTCTTTAGGATAGTAGAGCGAGAGTGGCAAGACTTTCTCTTTCTCTCCTTTCACCTTTTTATCTCTAGCTGTGTCTTTACTGCTGCAGAGTGAGTGTTTTTATAGAAAGAAAAGAGGATGTGTGAAAGTATTACTGTAGGTCCAGTGGCATGCCAGCTGTAAACCTCTTTAAAGTCAGTTAAACCCATTTTAGTTCTGTAATCTGATGTATTTCCAAGTGAAACAGGATATCAGAGACTGTATAAAGACCCTGAAATCCTCACTGCTTTTTCGTTTTCGGTTCGGAAAAGTGCGAAAGTAGCCATGTTTCCATCCACTTGTCAATCGAATTATCTAAAATTCGGTTAAAAAACTCATGCGGATAAAGCTGGTGAAAGTGTGTTTCCATCCAACGGCTTTAAAGCGAATAAAAACCTGTACGTACGTAATGACGTCACATGCTGTTTTGCGATCAAATTGGTATATCAAATTGATTTGAGACATTTTAAGGTGTTTCCATTTATTTTCGCACTGAATCGAACAACATTCAAGCAAACTTTTGCGAACAAAGTTTTGTTAAACAAAACGGATCGCGCCATCTACCAACAAATGATCAATATTTCACAAGTTGAAGCCTAATAATGCTAAATGTGCCAGCTGATAGCGACATATGAATGGGATAATGTATGCGAGGCGGTTGTTGTATTCGCCTCACAACCGCCTCGCTATATATTACCCTGCTTATTACATATAAATCAACCAAATAAATAAATAAATCAATCATTTGACACAAAATATTGACTTAAAAACGAGTTGATTGATTTAAAAACGAGTATTGCTTCTGCTAAAGAAAATAGTCTGTTGTCCAAGCCACGTAAAAACAAGCAAAACTAACCCAAGAAAACAACGACGCTATAAACATTGCTATGATGATGCCGATGCACGTATGCCCGACGACAGCGGAGGTGACTGTGGTTTGGGAACGACAGCGCTCCATCAGTTCTGGGAGATTGTGGTTCACGGAAACCCTTTGGTTGAAGCATCTTTTTGCTTTGTCCACTTACATCTGTCTTTGTTGACATCCGCCATGTGTGCGCAAACAGACTGGCCGGAAATGAACTCGTCTTCTGACGTGTTGCAACCATAAAAGGGCATAAAACTTAATCGCAATTCATTATTTATTCGGCAAATAACGTTTCCATCAGCTTTTATCGCGTTAGCCGTATATCGATCAAGAGAACATTCGATGAGACCGAACGTATTTCATTTGAGTCGATTTTCATGAAATTTCATCGAATTTTACTGTTTCCATAAGGCTTTTTTCATTCGATATCACTTAATTCGGATAAAAACGTGTCGATGGAAACATGGCTATACACGACCGTGATATGTGACTGTAAATATGTGCGAAATTAGTTTGTTTAAAGCAAGCATCTTTATAGTATTGAACATGAAAAAACAATCTGTCTTTTCAATTAGAATTGACACTGAATTTTCTACTATAAAGTGGCTCTCCTGTGGTATTGGTTTTTCAGGATTTCCACATTAAAGGGTTAGTTCACTTTGAAATGAATTTTTGGTATGTTTTAGCTTACCTCAAGGGCATCCAAGATGTAGATGTCTTTGTTTCCACAGTATTTTCAATTGTGATACTGTATCTTAAGGTCAAACCATTCTTGTCTATCAGTCATATAATGGAGGTCTATGGTCACCACCTCAAAGAGCATGCACAGAGAAGTCCAAATTAAACATGATTTATTGACTCGCAAATGTAAGGTAACGAGGTAAAGACGATATAAATACTGTTCGCTTTCTCACACAAACCGCTCGTTTCGTGTCTTAGGCCATCAATATGTACTTACATTTACGAGTCATTAAATCACGTTTAATTTGGACTTCTCTGTGCATGCTCTTTGAGGAGGACCCCATAGACCTCCATTATATGACTGATAGACACGAACGGTTTGACCTAAAAATATCAAAATTGAAACTATGCGGAAACGAAGACACCTACATCTTGGATGTCATTGAGGTAAGCCAAAACATACCAAAAATTTATTTCAAAGTAACAATCCCATTAAAGAAGGCAGAGCCACAGAGACACACCTACATATTATTATGTAATCGCCAAGAACCAATGGAAGTTTGTAGGTTTATTTACCTGCCACAGCTAACTT